CCAGGCTGACAGAGCTGATGGTGGGAAGGACTCAGCAATCACCAAACCCCACTGTGGCATCTGAAACACGAGCATAACAATGTGTTCTCCCCAAGGTTTCTGTGCTTGAGGACAATTTCACAGAGAGATAACCATCTGTTGATGCCCGGGCATCTCCCAGCACGCATCAGCCTCAGGAGTAAGAAAATGGAAAATCTGCCAGACAGCTGCAACTCAGCCAACTCCCACCCCTCCTGTGAGCTCCTACCTGGTCCACAAGCACACAGTTAGGGATGGCAATGTTCCCAAGGAGCAGACAATTCACTAGTCTCAGATTTGCTGGAGGCACTGGTGTCAGGATGTGGTAAAGCTTCTTCTCCATATCAACTCCTCGGACAATTCCTGAAAAAAAAAAAAAAAAAAAACCCACATGAAAGATCAGTTACTAAGTATCCCTGCTCACTATCACATCCCTACATGACTGAGCACCAAAGTCCAAACTGGAACATTAAATTAAGTCACAAGGAAACTGAGACAACTACTGGGATTTTGCAAATGCTACACGGAATGTGCTTTTGAGAACGTGAACTGGAAAGTGAGTCACTGTGGAGTTCTGAGAGAAGCTCTGAGTGGCGCCATTCAAGGACATTCCCCACAGCTCTTACCACCTGTTAACCAAAGTCCAAGGACTGCAATACAGCCTCTAACAGCAGAGAACACGCCACACTCATCCCACTTCTCCAGCTGATTTTAAAAGAGTAGGTAATTCCATCAGTTTGCAACCTGTCTGCCCAAACAGGGCAGGTGAGAGCAGAGCTGCAGGCGTGCTCACCGAAGCCCAGGCAGTCGCAGATGGGGGTCTGTGTCAGCAGGACTGGCCCCTCGCTCTGGCACCGCACTTCCTCCGGAATGCAGCAGAGCCCGACCCAGCTGGCGTTCACTGCATACATGATGTTGCTGGGAGCAACATCCGTGTGAATAACCCTGAGTGCAATAGCATTGAAAGGAACCTGAGGTGGGAAAGAGAAAAGTGCTCATCAGCTCCACTTGGATTGAGTTTGAGTTCAGAGATAAGACCCTGCACACTCCCACACCACACCTACACACAGGCACTATGGCAGGGCACACAAAGCAGCTTCTGCACCAACACCTGCACACACAGGACACACAGCACACACGTGCTACACCAGAAACCTGGCTTCCAGACATCCTGAATACAGTCACTCTAGATTAGAGTGTTTGTCTCTCTTCTGAGAAACATATGCAGGAGGAACAGAACAGCCCATCATTTCAGGATGGGCTCTGTGCACATTCCCTGGCAAGCCATCCCAAAAAGCTCCGTTACCTGATATGGCACCAGGCTGTGCAGCGGGAGCACTGCCCCAATGTCTGGGCTCTGCAGGTGCCCCAGGTATCCCAGGATGGACATGTCACGCAGGATGGTGCTGTGCACTCGTCTGAAAGAACAACCCCATGTCAAGGACGACGTGTGGTTCTGTTCAGCCCATGGACCTCACAGAGCACTCAACATCCTACTTACACTTCACCTGCCACCCCTGCTCGAGGGAATTCTGGGTGGACATACAGCAGCTTGTGCTGTGGAGCTGACACGTCCTCCCCTTCAGCGTACTTCCAGCTCTCCATGCTGTCCACTCCCAGCTGCTTGCACTTGGATTGCTGCTTGCCCTTGGTGTGCAGCCCGGCGCTGAAGTGCACGTGCTCCGGCGTCAGCGGGGGCATGGCCTTCCAGTCACACATGTCCATCTGAACAATGTGGCTGGGTGACAACAGCCGGATGATATCGATGAGGAGCAGCAGCCCTTCACCTTCAGGGGCACAGGAAACACACAACTGCTGCTGCTACTGTGACAGGTGGCACAGCAGCGTTAGCTCAGGGTGGGCACGCTGTGAATTGTTGTTCCACGCGGTGCTGTGCCACCGTTACCTCCCTCCACACCTCTCCAGAGCAGATTGACCCCGTTTACCTTTCACCCAGCCCATGGTGTTGATGACTAGAGGCACTTCCTTCTTGTAGTAGCTGAAGACGTATTTCACAACATCAAGGTACCTCTCTGTGTCCTGCTCACAGCTGGTCTGGCCATAATACACCATCTTACTGGGCATCTGCTGGTGAGTGAAGGGGGGACCTGGCAAAGAGAGCACCGAACATCCAGTGCCTTCCCCAGGCCACACCAAAACGTTCCTGTCCCTGAACACCCACACGTCTCCTCTCATGAAATAACCCACTCTTCCCACATGCCAATTGTCCTTGCACAGCCTGCCAGTAGAGGAAACTGGTCTGTCACTTGCAGGCTGGGAGTTTTGTTTGTTTCAGGTTAATATTTGGTGTGGTTTGTTTTGTTTGAAATCACTGCGTACACACTTGGAAATCTTTAAAGAACAAAGTTTGTATGACAAACTGGTTAAACAGCAAACCAGCCTGGGAATGTCCTTTTAGACAGTGACCCAAAACTGAGAAACTACAAACTCCAGCAGTTTCCTGGACTCTGTTTTTCACTCATCACAGCAGCAGATCCACTTTGGATTTCTCAAAGTTAGTTTTATCTACGGATACAGATTTTCCCAAGGAGACCTTCACATCTGAAAGGCAGAACATCCCCTTTCATACACCTCAGCATGTACTACCACCTCTACAACATCACATTTCTTTACACAGCTCCATGTTACTCAGGGAGCTTAAACACCCCCACAAGAAAACTTGAACAGCCCTTAGTTTATTCTCCCCAGGAAACTGTGACAGCTGTGGCAGCAGCTTCCCCTGAAGCAGAGCCTCTGCCCAGAACACCCCGTTCATTTCAGAAACGGAACAGGTCTCTGTAACCACAGAAGCAGTGCAACACATACCCAGAATGGGCTCCGTGACGCTGCTCAGGGACACGCACCCGGGCGGAGTGAATTCTGTCTGGCCAATGTCACACTCCATGTACTCCACCACAGGAAGGCTGCAGGGACACAGACTGTGTGTTAGCATCCACCAGAAGAACTACATGACCTGAACATATCAGAAGAACAATCACATTTTGTTCCAGGCTGCAAAGCTAAGATTCATGAATCTCTCCTTCCCTCAATCACACTCATGGTGCATTTCTAACTATTGTTACTCTCCTATTAAGCCCAAACTGCTTGGTGCCCAATGTGCTCACACACTCCAAGGCAGCAATTTAACTGTATTTCAATGGAAATGTTCAGTAGGCAACATTCCTGAAATCACTCAAGACAAGAATATCTGTTTTTCTGAATTATTGTGTTTAAAAGCTGTGCACCTTTGAGTTCTGATGGCTCTTCTAAGAGACCCGTCAAACATTTGTTTTTATTTTCTTCCTTTTCCTAAACCTCTGTAGCACATAAAGGCTTACAGAACATGGAAAGACTCACCGGTTCAGTAACAGGTTAATTAGGTATCTGTTGAATGTTGACTTTCCAGTATTTTTTGGGCCACACACCAGCACCACAGGTACACTTTCATCTTCCGCTAGAAAGAAAACCGGAGTGTGAACTGGACTGATGATGGCATCACTGACCCACCCTAGGCAATGCCTAAGCCCTAGATGCACATTCTTCATAAAGAAAAATTCGGCCCTCAATCAGCGTGTGCTGGTCAGGGCACTTTTTAAACTCATGAACGCCTCATGAATTTTCCTTTTTTTTTAGGCTACCAAAGGCCTGCACTCACCACAGCAGGCCTGGATCAGCTCCTCCAGCGCCAGGCAAGTGGTCTCCGACAACAGCAGCCCGCGGTCGGGGCTGCACTTCACGATGCCCACGGACGCCAGGACCGCGTCCTCCGGCGTGAAGTTAGACTGCTCCTTTTTCTAGGCGAGAGGGCGAGCGCTCAGCACGGGCTGTGCGAGGCCGCGGCCTGGCGCTGACAGGGCGGCCGCCGCCGCAGGCACCGCGCCGCCTCACCTGGGGCTCGAAAAACCGCGACAGCGGCGGGTGGCTCAGCAGGAACCGCGTCACCGGCGTGTCCAGGTGCTCCAGCAGCACCACGGCGCAGTCGGGAGAGAAGCGCGCCATCACCTTCACCCGCGCCGCTGGAAGAGCCAAGTGCCGCCATCACCCTCAGCCCCGCGCCCGCCCGCCAAACGGCACCGCCCGCTGCGCAGCGCCCCGCGCACAAAATGGCCGCTCCCCGCACCGCCCGCGAAATGGCGCCCGCCCGCGCCCCGCTCCCGGCCCGCACTCACGGCGGCGGACGCGGTGCGAGCGCATGGC